CTGGTCGTCGTTCCGATTCTGCTTGGTGAAAAAGTTCCGAAAAGGACGATGCACAAGAATAATTTGAACGTGGACTTATCGTCCGAGTAATTCTCGCGTCAGTTCTTTTCTGCTTTTCTCATCTCCTGTTGGTCGTACGTCTGAGAGTCTTGAAAATTTCTTTATTTTTCTTTTTTTTTTAATTCAACATCAGAAAAGCTTCGTTCGACAATTTCCCGTATGTAATTTTTAACCTACCGCGTTACTTTATTAATCGAAAATGTCGACTCGCATTTTTAGATACTCTATGCGTTTGCGGTGTTTCAGTTGAAAGATAAATTCTTTTTTGTGTAAACTGCCGTAATATCTGAAATATCTTCAAACATGAAGCAGGAGCTGCACAAAGCTACGACGACCCCTCAAAATCCCGACGTCCTCCCACAAAATTTTCAGTCAAAAGATAAAAGAGAAAGATAAAAGTCGCCGAATTCTCCGGGGATAAGCCTGTCGTTAACATTAAGACCGATAGACGCGGATCTACATGGAACGAGCACGTCGAAAAAGTCATACATCAAGATAGCAAGATGACACAGTGTCCGCCGCGCGAAAAAGCAATAATTCACGCGTAGAATGTAAACAGAAGCGCGTATTTACTGAGTGCGTATGTCTGCTCTGGCAGTTCCTTCGGAAATGCATCGCGCAACGAAAGGAAGTCGTTATTGGGTTACGTTCAAAAGGCCGGAAACGTAACGCGTAGATTCATAATAATTGAGCAACACGCTCGTTTCCGTTACGACACTTGTGACACGACGGAGCGCGAGACGGCTGTAAAAATTCGCGTTGCTCGCGGAACCTCCTGTCATTAAGAGGATCCTCGAGTCGTCCTGTTTTATCGTAAATTTATTAGTATTATACTCGTTACATATACTGGCGGCTGAATTAAAAATCTTTTCGCACAATTACTACACACGTTAACGTAGGCGAGGACGGTTGACTTTATTTGAAAAAAATTTTATAATTTTCATAATTTATTACCTTCTCAGTTTTCCTCTTAACCCGGCGGCAAAGGAATATTATGTACGTTTCTTCCTAAAATTCAAAAGACACAAAAAAAGGACAGCGAAATCTAGTTTGCTCAGTACAAGGCGTTTTTCTAACAAATATGCGACAACAGGATTCGAATAAGAAAAGTAAAAGCTTTTATGTGTAAACCTTGTCGAATCTGCACAGGAAAAGTGTTTCCTCAGGATTGTATCGGACAAGCAGAACGAATCCCTCTATTACTAAGACTGAGTTGACATTTCTTCCAAATTTCGGCCTAAATGAGCCTGAAAGCTAAGCCAAGAATTTCTGAGTCTTACAGCTATTTATTTTCTGTAATTTCAAATCAGATTTTGAAATAAATACCGTTAGATTTTTATATCAATTTTTTCCCCTTCCAATCACACATAAGGACGACTTGTCGAGGCTACGGGAGAACTTCGGGAAGGGAAAAAACGGATGTGAAAGCCCGGAAGGACGGGCCGTCCTGTGAGAGAGATATCGCGTAAATAAATCACGAAGCAAAATTCGCGACGCGCTCGATGAGTTACACGTGGCCGTGGGAGAGATGATAGGGCGAATGGTAATTCTAAACGCTCAGTGGCGGCATTAAATCCTGATACTGGTCCCGACAGGTTGCCGACCGCAACCGCGGAGCTCCTCTCCGCGTCTCTCCCATGACCAATTCCGCGTGAGACGACGTACGTAGTACGTATGCACATACGTACGCGATACGCAAGAGCGTAACGCAACGTTTGGGATCTGCTGAAGAGACGAACGCTATGTGTTCGTTATAAACCAAATGGAAATATGTCTGCTCTGGTAATTCCTTCCGAAACGTATCGCGCAACGAAAGTGATTCGTTACGCTGAAAAGGCCGGAAATACGTAGATTCATGAACTTGATGTGCCGCTAAAAGGTGTCGCCCATACGGAGAAAATGTGAAGAGTACGACAAAACGATTGGGTCCACTATCGATGAATAATTATATGAAATGAAACAGGTCTTCGACGCGAGAATTCTCAAAGGTTTCCTCCGTTAAATCCGCACACGTTCGAGCCTCCTGTTTGCGTAATTCGCGTAAGAATATTTGGAATCTGAAGGAAAGAAAAGTGAGAAGGCGCGTAGACACACGAGAGACAAATCGCCGATCGCGAGAGGCGATATACGCGAAGTCGAGAAATTACAAACTAATTACTAAGTGGCTTCGAAGTGCCGATAAATATACGGTTGAATCAGTATTGACTCTCGTTACGCGGTTACGAGAGCACGAGATATCGAAAGTTTATCGGTACTTGCGGTTAATTACGGCGCTTTCCTTCACACGTTTTCTCTCCACTCATTTACCTTTATTTATTCATATTGAGCAGGCAGTCACTGATATCTTATCAATCTATATCGGTCTCGGTATTACACGTGCATTGCTGCACCAGAGGTCCTATTTGATAGATCTCAATCGCGTGACTGAAAATTTCCGATAATCTACGTAATCGCTAGTTTCGGACGGCTTCTCTCTCCGAAGAAGTGAAGTGAAATGTTCACGAATCGTCGGAAATGAATTCATAAAGAACGCGGCACTAACCCGGAAACTGAATTAAACGTTTCACTTCACCGCGGAAGCCTAAAGTGTCGATCTATGTAATCACTTTGTCACTAGGAGCAGTACGCACGATCACAAATATGAGATGTTTCCCAGCCCCGACGGGAGAAAGCGTTAACCCGAAATCTACGTTTCGTTGCGTTGCATAAGAATTTATCGAAAAATGCCCAAGGAATCTGTTGAAATAAGCAATTACGAAGTCTGTGATGAAATGTTTAGCATAACAAATCCCCGGTAACATAAAAATCGCACTTATCTCATTGCTGGAAGAAGATATTCGCATAATCAACGCCACATAATCCCGGCAATCTTGTAACACAAACATTCAAATTTCAAAGCGTCGTTTTTGCGTATAACTATTCACTTCACGATTTCAAACGAATACAATTAATTTAAACATATATTTCCTTTTGTATATTTCTTCTCCCGCGGTATTCTTCTCATTTTTCTTCTTTCTTCTGTGAAAATTAACACTGTACTCTATACTCGGAGAAAAATATACAAACATAAATAACAACTATATCAACTTTGTACATAAAATTAATGCATATGGTGTAATCAACTATCTTATAATTATTGCAATTAAATCTGAATGGTATATGGTAACTATGCACGGAAAAAAATAATCTTAAATCCATGGTAGATATTCTTGCATAAGCAAGAATATTATAATCTTCTTGGAAGATGTTTATTTGTCTTGATTTGCCTTGATTCGATTGAATTTGTATTGAGCAAGTATTATTTGCACTGAATGTAAGACTAAGAATGTTCCAAGAATATTAGAATATTCTTGCTTATACAGGATATCCGAAACATTCTCGATTTCTGTGGCGTGCAGATAGAACGGATGAGACTAAGCAGAAAAGTTATGTACTATTTTACAAAATTTGCAATAGTGAGGAATTAATTATTTCGCCTGGGTTAATGAACATATAGGAAAGGATAGATCGATAGATATGACGAGAATCGAGGACGGTTTAGGACACCCCGTACAAGAGAATATCTATCATTGATTTCAAACTATTTTTTCTATACAGTTATCAAGAACTTATATCTTATGCTATACTATTCCAGATTTAGTTGCAATAATTAGAAAATAGTTGATTGAACTATATGCATTCTATATGCATGCTTCTTTCTGAGCATAGAGTACTGCATTAATTTTTAATTCCATACACGACATTCATTAATTTTTAATTCCATACACGCTATCACTTTTATAGTTGTTATGATTATGTCTCTGACTTTCCCTACGTGTACAATTAATCGGATTCGCGGTGATGGTGGATCACGATTATTAATCAGCGTGAATTTTCTTATCTGTAGGTAAGAATAAAAAAGAAAAATGACTACTTGCGGATTCCTCGGTCAAGAATGGCATCGTCGGGCACATCCTGTGAATCCTCTAACGGCGGATTTACACCCACCAGCAATCCACCCGACGCCACCCTCCGGAGAGACCCTACCATCCCTACCCCCCCCTGTGGGGAGTGTCTTCCACATCGGCAGTGGTGGTAGAAGAAATTGGTAGGAGAAATACGCCGAGGAGGGAAAAAGACGTTACCTTTCGCGTGTAGTAAATTGTACTAAATAGTTGAGTTTCATCGTGAGAAAGGGAGAGGATAACTATACACTTGGTAGGGGGCTCGAAGGCGGTCTTTCCGGAGATTGGTTTTCGGTTAGAACAAATCAACTTTATATCCTATTGAAAACTAATTCACTTCTAAGAAAATTCTGGAAGACACTGCGAGAGCATAAACTACTAGTGGCTGAACGTGAGAGAAGTTACCCTCCCCTTACGGAAGGGTCCGTTCCTGACTTGCAGTCTATCGCAGGTCGACGGAGTGGGGCGACTGTTCAAGAAGAGCCGGCTCGGCCGGCGTTGGTTAGTTGGCTCTAAGCGGCTCTCGAGTTAACTTCGGAGTACTGCCGAGACCGGTAACATACACGCGTGTGACAGTGAGTGATCGAGTCGCTGCACTCTCGTCCATACCTGCACATATCGCGCCGATAATGAAATTCTACTCTTGCCTGGCACAGCACGAAAGTGACCGGCATAGTAGCATCAGCGGTGTTAATAACGTCAGTTTATCGTTTCGGTGTAGTACTGTCGACGGTAAAAGAAAAAAAACGAACGGGACGTTGCTTTCGTATGAGCGACTGCAGTGTCGAATATCGTAATAGTCGTGGGTGCTCGCTTCTAACGCGACTCGAGCGAATTCAACGCGGTTTTTCACGGCACTTGTGAATTTACGCGCTCTGCCCGACGTCAGTGACACGCTCGTCGTGCCAGGATCAAAGCGGAAGGAAAGAGAGAGAGAGAGAGACGGTAAATCCCTAAATTGGGACTCGAGTGCGATTCGAGTGTCATCGACGCAGAGGAACGACACACGACAGTTGAGCCAGAGCGATCTTGTCATTCTTTGGCCGATATCACTCAACTACAGCACAATGTATATCTACAGCCCAAAAATGATCCGTTTGGTGCTACATCAAGAGGTCGTCAGTTTCATCGAGAAGAGTAAAGAAGATCTGATTACGGATTTCAATGATGAAGACGAATTTAAAGGATACCTGAAGATATTTGGAATTAACATCAATTGCGAGAACAAGGAGATACATCTGAATAAAGAAAACATAGGTTCGTAGAGTTGAAATTTACACTGAGACTCAGAATCCGATTATTTACTACTTTTACAATTACCGCGCGCAAATTAATGACTGTCGCTTCCCGGCGCGTCCGACTCGTTACACTCCTTGCCACCCTCTCGCGGCGCCGCGCCGTTGCGCGTGGGTGGAGGCGTCGCGATGTTGGACGTCGCCGTCTTCTTCACGATCTTCGCGCCCGACGACCACGATCCTTCAATCCGGAGGTGCTCTGCTCTTATTAAAGTGACCGTGATGGTAATTGAAGACCCGGATGAGTGATCGTGCTCGCCGAACCACCCCGAATCCGATCCTCGTTGTCAGCATATTCTCCGATATCGATGGGGAGTAACGATGTATCTTGTAATTATGACGAGTAATTACAACTTAAGAAATAGTTGTAAGACTTTTTATGAAGTTGAACAGGCGGCGTTAATGGGTCACTAGGAATTTCGTTCGAGATGAGAGGAGGAAGAGAGGAGATCGATTGATCGATCGCGCGCTCGGTTGAATACTCAGGACCCGTCCTGAGTGTTCATTTATTTTCATGTAAATTTTCAGTGTTTATGCGGTGAGGCTGGAGAATGTTTCTTTTTTTTTTTTTTCATATTTTCCGTAAGTTTCTAATTTACCACGCGTATCTAAGCTTTCGACTTAACATGTTCGACACTAAATTCGCGGGAGAGACATTAAGCGCGCCACACACAAGTGACAGTGGTCATTTTTCTATGTTCACTTAAACGAGCTAAGCCTGTTTTACACGATTACTCAATGGATCACAGGATGGGAGCGTTGATTTCTCGAATGAACCGTGATAACGAATGCGTTAACTCGACGACTGGTGCCATCGCATATTTCGAACTTTTCCCGCTTGTTATTCACGCGAGAACGTGTCGCGGACGGTGAGAATATTTTCAGACGATTCCGCTATTTCTGACTGAAAACACTTGGAAAATTCTGGTGAAAATGACTGCTTCTGTGACAGATCTGTGACAGATCGGGGTCAGCGGTTTCTGACATGAAACGTTCAGATCGGGATTTCCCAACAGCAGGCGAAAATTCGGCCTTCAGACGGGCGAACTCGTCCGAAAACCAACCTGTGAAAATAACGGTGAACGAATGTACAATAAACCTATTGTATTTCGCCCTTCGCTGCGCTTGTTTTTCACAACCCGGTGGTCCCCTTAGATCTTTTCCTGTTTTCCGCATACCTGACCGACACGGAAGTTCGGCAAGGGCGGGGATGCCCTTAGAAAGAGAGAAGAAAAGAGAGAGAGACGAGATTTGCGCGACGCCACTACGTAGGTATACGACGCGCGCGCGCGCGATATGGGTAACATAATTAACGCAGCTCTTCTATAATTAGCGGCTTCGCTCTCGGCGCGGTTTCGCGTGCGGAGTCGGTTCATCGAACTTTCCTCTCTGTCTACCGCGCGCTCAGCGGCATCGAGTTTATCGGGAATCGATGGGAATGAATCCGAGACACGCGTGCGCTCGTAGGAATCCGATTTGCGCGCGCGTAGCGCTTTTCGAAGGCTCTCTGCGTGCGGCTTCAGCACGCGAGCGAAGACGAACGGGTGAGCAGGCCTCTCTTTCTCTCGCATGACCCTCTGCTAATGACACAATGCCTACTAAACCACGACAACGACCGGTTGCGTGCTCCACCGAGAAATGGTGCGGATCGCATATTCGCATGCTATTCAGTAGCTGTCGTAGCGACAAGCGTTGCCGATGAGCGGAAAACCAGACATTCGTAGGGACACAAAGCCCCGGTTTTATCTGCGTTAAACTGTCTTCAAACACTTCGATAGCCGACCGGAGCGATCTGTCATTTCCTTTCCTTACTCACGCGCGTTGCCGGAGCGACGCGGCTCGAGACTGAAGAAACCCCCG